TGCTGCTTCCATGAGCATTGAGGGGGGATCCCAGCAAGATGAAATCCTAGACAATGTCAACCTCTTCTCCGATTAGCATGATGTTACTTACTGGTCCAGTGGTGAGGAATTAAGCTTCCTAAGAAGGACATCATGCATGGGAAAGTGGAGGGGCAGCGACAAAGCGGAAGGCCTCCGAGAAGATGGATGGACACAGTGGCTGCAACCATGGGTTCAAACACAGGAACAATTGTGAGGGTGGTGCAGGACCGGGCGGTGCTTCATTCAGTGATGCGTAGGGTCGTTATGGGCTGGAACTGACTTCAGAGTACCTAACAACCGATTACAAGGATCTACATATAACCTATTCCCTGGGGGACGGACAACAGAAAAGTGGGTGAAAGGAGGCGTTGGACAGTATAAGATATGACAATAATTTATAAATTAGCAAGGGTTCATGAGGTAGGAGGGAGGGGGTGGGAAATGAGCTGCTGCCAGGACCTTCAATGGAGAGCAAATGTTTTGAGCATAATGAGGGCAATGAATATGCAAATGTGCTTTACACAATTGATGTATGTATGGATTGTGAAAAGAGTTGTATGAGCCGCCAATAAAATGATTTAAAAAAGAGTACCTAATAACATAACAATAACAACATGCATTCAATATTTAAATGGATATATATATATATACACACATACATCAGTTTGTCCTATTTTGGTGGCCTGCCCATGGCTGGATGCAGGATGCTGCTCCCCGAGTATTTCACACACCAACAGGGTCACCCACGGCAGACAGGTTTTAGCTGAACATCCAAACAAACATAGACTTGGAAGAAAGGTCTGGCGATCTCTTACTCCCAGTGATTTGATCCTAAGTCATAGCGACCCTGCGGGACTGAGAAGAACTGCCCCAGTGGATTTCCGAGGCTGTCAGTCCTTATCAGACTTGTCTTCGTCCTGAGGCAGATAGTCCTAGGCCGAGTCCCTTAAATCTTGGGGGTGTAAGCTCCAATTGACCGGACGGTCCATCTTTCCTATAGGAAGACAACCTCTCCCTGCCTTCCCAAATGGATTGGGATGCGGGTGTGGGCCTGATGGTAGCTAGCGCCTCTCCCTGCCTCCCCAGGTGGTCAGATCTGTGTGGGTTAAGTCCTCAAGGCTGGCCTTAGGACTGTTTCAAGGCACCGGATGGAATCAAGGGCCTGGGGGCAGGTCTTTTGGTTGTAGGCGCTCAGGCCTCCCTCGCCAGGAATGAGCCAGTGTCTTGTCTTGTCTTGATGGTGCTTAAAAAAAAAAAAAAAAGTCCTTGGCACTAATGCCCTGACCTTATTTCTCCCCAATGTCGTTTTTTATTTTCTTAAAACTTCTTCCTAATAAGTCTCTGTGATTGTCCTTTTGAGGGGGGGGGAGGGATCCTATCAAATGATCCCCTAGCTTTGGGATTCCAGAAACAGCTGAAGTATAGTGGTGAGGAGTGGTGTTACTGCAGTGGTTCTAAGGGGGAAAGATGGGGCTTTCTACTCTGACAGAGAGCTGCAGTCTCAGAACCCCACAGGGGCCATTCTGTCCTGTCCTGGGGCTGCTGGGAGTTAGGACTGACCCCACGGCAGTGAGTTTGGTTTGGTTTGCTGGTAGATAGTTTACTTTGGGGCTTCACTGGCCATGTTTCACACCCAGGCCCCTCATTTGACAGATGAGAATTCTACTCTGGAACCAACCACTGTCCCCTCCAGCAATGATGCCCCCATGAATTTTCAGCCCACTGGTCAAAACCTCATGTTGCCCTGGGGCCCAAACTTAACTCTCTTTGAGCACTGGGGCAACAGGAAGAAAAAACAGCCTCAAGGAGAGCTTGGGAAATTGCTCCAAAACACAAAATGCCCTTCTTGGCGACAGGACCCCAATTCTTGGGGAGCCACCCCTCTCCAATTTTTGCCCCCGGGCCACATCAACCAGTAGGCTCTGTTGTTCAGAATATGACTGTTCCACTCAGCACAGGGGAGAAATCGGAAAAGAAATGCCCCGTTTTTCTGCTAGGATCTGCACCCAGGCTGTGCTGCGTCCAGGAGGGAGACCACGCATGGAGGTAAAGCAGAAGAGAGACCCAGAGACCTTGCCTGAAAACGTCTTTGAAGCCCCTAGATCCAGTCATGCCTAAAGAGAACTTGAATCCTGAAATCTCTGAGCATGAAGGTCAGTAAACGCCCATTTTCGTCTGGGATAAGTTGAATTGGAGTTCTGTGTTTACAGCTGACTTCGGATTACTCATAACTGCCCCGCCCACCCCCAAGCCCCACTGCCCTTGAGTCAATCCCAGCTCGTAGTCACCCTCTCTACCTGGGCTTTCCAAGGCTGTCAATCTTCACTGGGGCAGACGGTGGAAGGGGCTGGTGTGTTTGAACCGGAGACTCTGCAGTTAGCTGGCAGCCCAGCCCTGTCTTACCCAGCAACCCTCACATCAGTGTTGAGAGCCTTGTGGGTGACGGGTGGAGCTTGGCAAAGGCCTCAGGCACCCTGGCCTCTGTTTCCTCCTCTGCGGTCATTCCTAGCCAGAGCACTTCATTTCTATCATATGTACACGTATACGTGCAGCACTCATACATATGTACATAGAATTATCCACAATCATAGCCATATGAGGGCCTTCAAAATTCCCGGGAGGTGGGGGATGCAGAGGTGGGGTGGACCCAGTATATTTATATTTTCATTCAATTTTTCCAAGAACTTTTGGAAGCCCCTTTCACAGGGGTTTGCAGGTATGTTTCTGGATTAGTTATCAGGTCAACAGCCAAGACACAATGCTAAATGCAAGGTGGGCTGTTCAAACCTACCAACTGCTCTGTGGGAAATAAATGAGGCTGCCTGCTACTGTCCAGATTCATCATCTCGGAACCCCCATACAGAGTTGCTATGAGTCAGAATTGATTTGATGGCAATGGGATTTTTGTTTATTTGTTTGGTACCTCCTCGTGACCTCTGTCACCTACTCAGCATACATGTCTACCTGTGATTTACACACACATTGCTGTTATTGCTGGTGGTGCAGGACTGTCATTGCTATGACATGGACCATAATTTCCCTGTTATCCGTAGGTACCTCTCAGGTACCCTGATTTCCCCACCTTGACCCATAATTAACACGCATCTACGGCCTAGTGAGTGATCGTTCCTCCCCCTCCAGTCCCTGGTGACCACATTATAATGTGCTTCTTTCTGTGTGTAAACCTATTCTTGACTTTTTAGTCCTCGGGGTCTCACAGGATCCTTATTTGTCCTTTCGTGATTGGCCGGTTTAAGGCAGCAGGATGTCCGGCCTACAGGTCTGTGCCTGCTGTGAGCCATCTGGCAGATTGCTACGTATTCCCCAATCATTGCTTAAGCAGTCCACAGGTGTCGGAACCACACTTTGCTTATCCATGGGTCCGGGAGTGGGCACTTGGATGGTTTATATCTTGTTGACTTTGGGTCACCACCACAGGTATTTGTCACCCACAAACCTCCTGAGCTAAACTATAGACCTATTTGGCTTCAGACCTCAAGTGCATTCCAGGAGGGGTTCACCTGAAGGGGTCCCCAATTCTCAGGTATCAAGGTGGGGTGACAGGGGAAGCTCATGGGGTGTTAATGCTTGCCCTGAGATGTCCAGCAAGGTCTGTAGTAGGGGCAGAGGAGGGCAGTCTGGGAGAGGCGACTGATGGGTTACCTGGGACAGGTGTGTTGCCTTATTCCCCATGAAGGCCAACAACACATAGGCGCCACTTCTGCCCTGGAAGGAATGGCCTGGTCTCTGGTGAGTGAGGTCCCCTGGGGGATGGCGCAGTTCAGCTGGGCATCAGGAGGTCCACCGACGGCTCCAGGAGCTGGGAACGGCCCTGGCTGGCCCCTGGCCTAGGTAGCAGAGTTAGGTGTGGGTGAGCGCTCCTTTCACTTTACTTTGGGGCCCCGGTTTGCTCAGCGCACTAACCTCCCCGGGGCTCCCCAGCCCTCTGGTGGACTCTGCCTCTCCTGCGCGCTCCTGCTCCGACTTGTCCTCAGGAAGGAGGCGCTGTTTCCACGAGCCTTGTCCCCACCATGGTCTGCGCAGCCAGTCCCCGCCTGGGGTGGAGTGGCCGGAGCGCGGTCTGCTCACCCTGACCCTGCCTGAGAGCAGCCTGGACAAGAGCAGCCTGGCCTCGGCGAAGTCAGAGCACTATGTCCCCGCGGGGTAGGGTAGGGGTGGGGACAAGCGACATGGGGACAGTCTGCCCACCGCG